AAAGATAAAAAACACTATCTAGAGTATATCACCATTTGTGATAAGGGGGAAAATATATACATATATTTGTATATATACAATATTGTTTGTGTGTGTGTGTGTGTGTGTGTGTGTGTGTGTGTGTGTGTATTTGTGAAGGCCCACCTGAAGTGGAAGGAGACATAAGAACCTGATAACATTGGCTGCCTTCAGGAAGGGTAATCAGCTGGCTGGGAGACAGAGACGGGAGGGAGAGTTATTTTTCATTATATACCTATTTGTATGTTTTATATTATTTTACTATATATGAATGTATTAGCTACTATAAAAATGAAATAATTTAAAAAATGAGATAGGATGTACTTTTCCTGTAATATATAATTCCGTTTTAGTTCAGAAAGTATAATTCCAGGGGCATCTGGGTGGCTCGCTTGGTTGAGCATCTGACTCTTGATTTAGGCTCAGGTCATGATCCCGGGGCCGTGGGATCGAGCCCTGCATCAGGCTCCTCACTGAGCATGGACCCTGCTTGGGATTCTCTGTCTGTCTCTCTCTCCCCCTCTGTCCCTCTTCCCCACTCGTGCTTTTTTTCTCTCTCTCTCATAAAAAAATTTAAAAAGTATAATCCCATTTTGGTTTTTACATATGAGTCTATTTAAAAATATGAATATACACACGTAGAAAAACGACTGCAAGTAACCAGAGGGAAAACAGCGACCATCTGCGGTCAAGTCAGTGTTCTCTCGAGGCTCTTCAAAGCTCTCCTTTGCCACATGTCAGAGGCATCTCAGTGAGAAGGACTGTGTAAAACCTTTCCGGGGAAGACTCCCACGTCTGAGAATTGATGAGAAGGCTCTGGAGTGACCCAAAGGATGGAGCAGGAGTCCCATTGCAGAGAGTCAGGCTTGAAACAGGATAAATGGGTGAACTCACATTTCCCCAGGCCTCTCATCTCCCTACCCCAGGAGAAAATGACTGCTTTCACGCCCTGGTCAACTAGGGAGAGAGAATGTCCACAGGGCAGAAGAAGAGACTGGGGTCAGAGATGGCCAGAACTAAGCTCATACCCATCTCCACCCTCCCGATTCACGGAGAGCTAAAGAACACTTAGGGCTTCCCAAAGGAATGGAACAGCGGTCCATGCCAACTTTACCCAGCTTTCAAGGACCCAGGAACCCCCCAGATGGCAGGCAGTTTACACAACCATGCCTATTTTACAGGTAACGGGTCCCACATATTGCCAAGTGCTTGCCTGCCTCACTGCTTCTGCAATGGTTTTAAGTACACCGTGTGGGAGAGACATGTTCTCCAGGGTGACCAGAGGGACCACAAATCTTCCCTTTCTAGAAAACCTATACCAACAGCCAAAGTGATCAATCTTTCAATTCTTTTTTCTTGGCAGATCACCTGGATGTTTTCTTTGCAGACTAGATTTCAGCCAAGGTAGACCTGTGGACTACCAGCCAACACTCAAAAGTAGACCTGGCAAAGGACACCAGTAGTTTATGTCCTCAGAGCACCTACCCAAAGTTTTTACAGGGTGCCTGGGTGTGGCTCAGTTAGCTGGGTGTCTGACCTTGGCTCAGGTGGTGATCCCGAAGTTCATGAGTTTGAGCCCCCCATCGGGCTCTCTCACAGAGCCCGTTTAGGATCCTCTGTTCCCTCCTCTTTCTGCCTCTCTCCCACTTGCACTCTCTCTCTAAAAAATAAACAAACATTTTTAAAAAAAGTTTTTACAACATATTGGCACTTGTATTAATTTGTTTCATCCTTAGTCCAACTCTGCCTGGAAGGGGGAAGAGAGGTTCTGGGATGGTGATTTCAGTTCCTAGCTTGGTTAGAGTCGTAACAAAGTACCCTCCAGGGGAAAGTCCTTCCTTGCCTTTTCTCGCGTCTGGTGGTTGCCGGCAATGCTTGCGGCTCCTTGCCTTTCAAATCCATCATTCTGATTTCTGCATCTTGTCACATGGCTGTTATCTCACTGTGTGCTGACCTCTTCTCTTACAGGGACACCAGTCCAAGTGAGTTAAAGGCCCACTTACTCTGATATGACCTCATCTTTTTTATGTTTAATTTTTTAACGTTTATTTATTATCGAGAAACAAGAGAGAGACAGAGCATGAGCAGGGGAGGGGCAGACAGAGAGGGAGACACAGAACCCGAAGCAGGCTCCAGGCTCTGAGCTGTCAGCACACAGCCCGACATGGGGCTCGAACTCACGAACCATGAGATCATGACCTGAGCCAAAGTCGGACGCTTAAATGATTGAGCCACCCGGGCACCCCAGGTATGACCCTCATCTTAACCAATCACATCTGCTAGATGACCTTATTTTCAAACACACATTCAGAAATCCTGGGGGTTAGGACTTCAACATATCTTTTCCAGGGACACAGTTCAACCCACAACAAATGGGAAAAGACATAGTTAACAAGTTTTGTGGAATTTTTCCCAGCGGGGACAGGGTATGTGGGTTGCGGTACAGAGAGACTGACCTGGCCCTGCAAACATCAATCCCCTCTGCAACTTTATTATTATTATTATTATGAAACAGTTGCAGAGAACTTTCCCTCTGCTTGTCCGCCTTCATCAAGGACCCATGGCTGTTTGCTTGCTTGTGTGGTGCTGTGAGGTTTGACCATGCGACCGGGACAGATCTCATCTCAACTAACCATGAAGCACTCTCTGAAGGACATATTATCATCCCCATTTCACAGATAAGAAACTGAGCTTCTGAGAGACGTCCGTTCACAGTCACCCTGCAAATACAAGGTGCTGGGAGCCCTGGTCTGCCTGCCTCTCGCTCCAGGCCACACTGTGTGCCGTGCTATGGAGACAAGGCAGGTGGCCATGATCCATGGCCAGTTGGCACTAGAGTCCAGCCACGTTTGAGGAGAGCATGTGGGAGAGGAGCCTCGATACACCCCAAAATAATCAGCCTCCCCTCCTTCTGTGTTCTCCAGTAGGAGACCCGGCCGAGTGCTTTTCTGGGCTTACTGCTACCTGGAGAGAAGGAAAAGCAATTTGGAGGGATGAAGCTCTGGGTACAGGCGTGGGGTACACCCCATGTCCCTCCACCCCCAGGTTTGGGAGATTAGGAAGTGCTGATTTTCAAACTGGGTGTTTTTTTTAATGTTCATTTATTTATTTTTGAGAGAGAGAGAGCACGCACAAGTGGAGGAGGGGCAGAGAGACAGAGGGAGATGCAGAATCTGAAGCAGGCTCCAGTCAGCACAGAATTCGACAGGGAGCTCGAACCAAGTGAGTTCGAACTCACAAGCTGTGAGACCAGGACCTGAGCGAAGTCGGAAGCTTAACCGACTGAGCCACCCAGGTGCCCTTTCTGTTTTTTAAGTCTGCAAACCCCCAATTGTTTAAAAAGGAAACATGAGGATCCCCAACTTATAAAACAGATGCAATTATGCTGAAGGTGAAGACCTCTCCCATACCTCCCCAAATGGCCACCTTGGCAGACTCCAGGTCCTGACCGCCTGAGTGAGAAAAATGTCTAAAAACCACATAAAATGCCAAAAAAAAAAAAAAAAAAAAAAAAAGCAGGTAACAAAACGCACCCATGCCTTCACTTACTATGGGGTTAAAAGGTTCATTAGAAATAGTCTGGAAATCTGACACTAAGAAATTACTGTGAAAGTGCTCACAGCCTTCAGATGGTATGGTTATTATTATTTTTTTAAAAGATTCCTTATCTTTTTAGTACATTCTCAGCTATTTCGGTTGAAATGTTGTGATGTCTGTTTGAAATTTGTTTCAAAATGAGGTGTGGTAGGGGCGCCTGGGTGGTTCTGTCTTCGGTTGAGCAAGTAACTCTTGGTTTCAGCTTAGGTCATAATGATCTCAGGGTCTCCGGTAGAACCCCATGCTCAGCGGGGAGCCTAAGTTTAAGTTTCTAAGCTTAAGTTTCTCTCCCTCCCTCTCTCTCTCTCTCAACCCCCCCTTCCCTTCTTTCTCACTCTTTCTCTGTAAAATAAAAAGATAAATAATGAGGTGAGAGGAACCTGGGCCGCAGAACGTTGGTGTGGTCCTTACGTGGGGCTTCTCCCCTGGCTCAGCCTAACTCTATTCCTTCTACTCTATCAGTGCGGCACTGTCCGTAACAAAAACCATTTTTAGGCTGAAAAGACTGAATTGTGCATAATGAGCAGCATGACTTCTGTAGCTTTTTAATAAAATTGTAATTGAAGCACAGGTGGCATTCGTTATATTAGTTTCAGGTGTAGACACACAGATTCGACAATTCCGGACACGTATATACAGCACCAAGGAGAACATTGCCTCTACTTCCTCTGCTGCACTTTTCATCTGCGTGAATTATTTATTTTATAACCGAAAGTCTGCACCGCTTATCTGCAAAGCACTTTATTGAAGTATGACTGACATACAAAAAGCTGTGTATATGTAACGTATACAACCTGATGAGGTTACAAGTAAGTATACATCTGTGAAGCCATCACCACAGTCTGTGTCATAAACCCACCCATCACCTCCAAAAGTTTCCTCCTGCCCTCTAGTTGTGTGTGTGTGTGTGTGTGTGTACTATAGGCTGTATGCTGTACAGACGATCTCTAGGATTTACTCAATCTGGGTATCCAAACTAAGTTCGTACCTTTTAATCCCCTTGATGTATTTCGCCCACCCCCCAGTCATCTCCCACTTCTTTAATTCTTTAAAAAGCAATTAAAAGTTAAAGTTCCAGGAGGCGATAAGGGCGTTGGGAGGGTGGGGGGCAGGCGAGCGCAGCCGCGTGCCCCGTCCCTCAGCCCGGGGGCTGGGGGAGGGGGGGACCCGGACTCGCCTTCCTCTGCAGCTCGCGCCCATGCTCCAAACTTCTCCCGGCAGCAAGCGGAGCGCTGCCCAGCCCCGGGCGCCCCGTCTGCTCAGCCCTTCCACCCCGCCAGCCGGCGAACCTTCGGGGCCTCCGGCCCAGCGCCCCGGGGCACCCCCACCTCCCCGCGCCGCTCGCCGGGACTGCCCCGCGGCCCCCGGACGCGCTCTCTACTCACCGGCTGCGCTCCGGCCCCCTGCGCTCCTGCCCCTGCGCGCTGCGCACGAAACTGAAAGCTATAGCGCGGAGAGCTGCGGGCCAGTGCCGGGAGCCGGAGGCCGCTGCCGGGAAATCACGTGGATCCGCGGTGCCCGAGCCCGAGCGGGCACTGGCGGGGCGGAGGCGCACCGCGGTTCCTGCGCGCAGCCGGCGGGGCGGCGGGACCCGGGCACAGCGCCGAGGGGCGCGGCGGGCGCTCGCCCCTTCGGTGGAGGCGAAGCGGAGGCAGAGGCGCGCGCGCGAAGGGGTCGGAGCGCTGCAGGAGGACCCCGGGATGAGTCCAACCCTCCCGGTCTCCTGCGACGCTAAGGGGGCGGTGACAAGGTGGGAAAGAGGAGGTGGTCGCTGTGCAGGAGGAGAAGACGGAACCCAGCCGGCCTGGCTCCTGTGGCGGTGCTCTCCGGCATGAGGCGAGGGGGAAGGGAGTAACAGCAACAAGTGGTCTTATTAACGGAGCCTTTGACTTTCTCACACGGTGCCAAACACTATCTAGGAATTTCTCTAAACCTCAAAATAACCCTAAGATGGAAATGCAAGCATGGCCCCATTTTACAGATGAGCAAACTGAGGTTAAGAGAAGAGAGGTGAAGGACTTTGCCTCAGTCGCAGGAGCAGAGATGAGGAAGAGAAGGAACCAGGAGCGCTGGAGGGACAGAGAGATGAGCTGGTTCCCCGAGGAGGGGCTCAGCAGGAGGCACTGGGGTGGCGGGAGTGGTCCCACACCCCTTTGAAGCTCCTCTGAGGAGCTTCTGGCTTTCTGCACCCCTCCTGGGACAGGGAGCTCCCTTGCTCCTGCAGAGGACACCTCCATCCCTGGATTCCACCCACCTCTGGGTGCCAGCCCTGCAGTAGAATCAGCTTTCCTCCCAGATCACTTCTGTCCCCCGCCTCCCAGGCCACATGTGTGAGGGTGTGAGCGTGAGGGGCGTGAGCACAACCACAACCGTGTCAGACACCCCCGATCTATGCCGCGCGCAGTCTGCAACTACTGGCCACATACCTTTAACTGAGGACTCAGGGTCTGTGAAACCACCTTGAGCCTGACAGTCCCTAGGAGGGCTCCCGGACTGCTTAGTGAGCCAGACCCTTGCTTTGGGTCCCAAGATAAAGAGAAAGAAGCCCAAGAGAGCACTGGAGGGGACAGAGCAGAGGGGTTGGAAGGAATCCGACTCAGAAGATGGTGGCCTCCCCTCAAATCTTCCCAAAGCTGAAGGCACAGCCCCCACCCCCCCACCCCCGCCAAGACCCACATCAGCTTTTGCCTCCTAGCCACCAAAATACAGGTCAGCCCCCTTTGGCACCTTCATGATGTGGACCCTGACCTCACCTCTCTCCCTCTGCTCTTTGTTCTCTGTGCTACATCGGCCTCCATGAAGTTTCCTGGGTCTGTCATGATTCCTTCTGCCCCAGGGACTTTGCACATGCCAGTGTCCTCCTTTCCCCTCCCCTCCCCCATCACATTTGGCCAACATGGCAGGAGGGATTTTCTTCAGGCATCTTTCCTAAAGCCTGGTGCCTCCCAAGACTGGGGTGATAGAAATCTTTTGTACTATAGCCTGAGGGTGGGAAGACGACCTGCTTTGATCATAATAAGGTGGTCCGGCTGAAAATATGCTTATGAGAGATTTCTCTTCCATGTCAACATCTGACTTACTTTTCAGGGACTCCACACTCCTCCTCATCAGAAAGAAGCCCTCTGTGAGGGCCCCTTTCCCTCCCTTCCATCTTCAGTATCTGAAGCCCCCCCATGCCCCCATATGTCCTGTCCAACACTGAAACCACATGGAACAGAGGAGTCACAACTTATGCAGGAAGCTGATCAGAAGAGGAGACGGCACCTTTGATGGCAGGGGTGGGGGTGGGGAGGGGGTAAAGGAGCTGAAAGGAGCCAGTGGGGTGGGGAGGGGAGGGGAGGTCTGAGAGACGCTCTCTGCTGACCAAGGGGAAGGCTAGGAGACCCAGCCAGGGCAATTCCAGCTCGCACCGTTTCCTCTCTCCCAAAGCCACATGGGCAAGCACATATTCAAAAGAAAGGCAAGGCCAGCTCATGTATCCTGTGGGGGAAGGGAGCAGAAAGCTCTCAGGCCTTCCCCCCTGCACGCTCCAGTAATGGTATCTTAAATACCACCGTGAGCGTCACTTCATATGGAGGAATATCCTACAGTGTTGGGGTCCAAAGGGAATTTGGAGAGCATCAAATCCAATGATCTCATTTTATAGGAAGGCAAACTGAGGCTCAGGGCTGGGCTTGCACCAGGTCCCTGCCTTCCAGCCCACAGCTCTTTCTGCCACATCAGGTTGCGAATCGGAGACCTGTGCCCTTAAAGTGGGTCGAGTCATCCTGTGTGGTGGCAGAGGTAGTACTCTCCGGGTCAACCTGGAAACAGGGGTCCATGCTCTGGCTGGGTCATCAGCGTGCAATGCCACCAGGAGGGAGAGGTGCCTCGAGGGACCCAGGACTCCTAGCAGCTAGAGGGTCGGAGGCATTTGCAGCTTGGCCTGAGAGCTTAAAAGGTGAATGAATGCCTCCCTGCATGAGGTTCACGTCCACCAATAGCTCTGGATAGACTGGAAGCTGCCGTGCCCATCAAGAGAGCCACTGTGAGTGCTCCCTGGGCACGCGGCAGATGGCCCTGCAGCCTGGACACGCATTCATCCATATGCCTGTGATAAAGTACATCCCAACCCACGCCTCTCATCTTGCTCCCCTCCTGGTGTGGTACCTCTTCCGAGAGGGGCCCTAGGGTGGGGTCTGGCTGTCACCCCATTTCATAGAGGGGAGTCCGAGGCCCAGGGAACAGCCACTGCTCTCCCTTCAACCCACTTATCCCATACCACCCGGAGCCCCTTCCCAACAGACACTCAGGGAGAATGGCGGGTCACAGAAAGAGACAAGGGAAGGATCCTATGGTCTTATTTCCTTTGGTCCTGTTGCCTGATTTTCTTTAGGATCTTCTGTCTGCTTTCTGTAAGACACAAGGTACTATAGGGGCGCCTGGCTCAGTCAGTTAAGCACCCGGCTCTTTTGGCTCAGGTCATGATCTCATAGTCCATGAGTTCAAGCCCCACATTGGGCCCTGAGCTGACAGCTCAGAGCCTGCTTGGGATTCTTTTCCTCCCTCTCTCTGCCCCTCCCCCAAGTGCATGTGCATACTCTCTCTCTCTCTCTCTCTCAAAATAAATAAATAAACATAAAAAAAAAAAAGACGTAAGGTATTATAGGGCTATCTCTCCCCGTCTACCCAAGACCATTTCCCTCTCTCAAGTTGGAAACAGTCTTCGATTTCATTCTAAAATCAAAAAGAGGGGCACCTGGGTGGCTCAGTCGGTTAAGCATCTGACTTCGGCTCAGGTCATGGTCTCACAGTTCATGAGTTCGAGCCCCACATTGGGCTGTGGGCCAACAGCTCAGAGCCTGGAGCCTGCTTAGGATTCTGTGTCTCCCTCTCTCTCTGCCCCTCCCCTGCTCATGCTCTGTCTCTCTCTCAAAAATAAATAAAAACATTTAAAATAAAAAAGAGATGAGAATTTGGCCCTCTGTCGTACCCACATCTCCAGAAAAGAAACTCTGGAAATAATTCCAAGTGCTTCTGTCTAATATTTAAGGCCCTTCTTAAGAGAGCCCTTTTGAGTACTCTCCTGAGATCTGCCATTCCAGCCTCCAGACCTTTGCTCAGGCAGTCCTTTCCTCCGCCCTGCCCTCCCTCTGGTCTTTATGGTGATTTTTCCTCCTAATTAGGAGTTGAGGTAGAAGGGGGCACCTGGCTGGCTCAGTTGGTAGTGTATGACTCTTGATCTCAAGGTCGTCAGTTCAAGCCCCATGTTGGAGGCGGAACTTACTTAAAAAAAAAAAAAAGTCTAGGTAGGTTCTTGTCAGGTCTTAAGTCCTGGAGGGAAGGAGCCATATTTCCCCACTGATATCTGTGCCTGTCACCAGGGGGACCAGGGAGAGATCTGGGGAGTCAACTACCACCTCCTCTCCCCCACCCCACCCCCGCAGCACATACTGGGGATCCAAGAGGCTTAGGAAGAGCTTCTTGTTGAATCAGGACTGGCTGGCAGTGATAGGATCTCAGGGAGAGTAACACTGTTCACCATGAGCCAGCGCCCCTCTCAGGACCCCGGACTCTGCACTGAGCAGCTGGGGGGTGTGGGCAGCTGCAGGCCCCAGGAATTTTGGGGTCAGGCCTCACCCTTGATCTTCTGAAAACTGAGGGACATTTCCCAGTATCTGTAGCTTTGGGGTCACATGGGCCCTTCCTGTCCTGGATTCTCACTTATGCACATTCTCAGCAACTTCTTCCCAGTTGGTCAGAAACCAACGTGCACCAGGACTTCCACACAGAGCTCATGTCCTCTGCCTCCAAAATGAAACCTTCATCAAAGCAAGGTGGGACTTCCTCCCCTGGCAGTTGGATGGATCTGCATTTTTAGTTTCCAGACATCAGATACACCAGGTAGGCACTGCTCCAAGTGTGGACCCTCAACCAGCAGCATCAGCACAGAGAGGGAGCTTGTTAGAAATGCAGATTCTCAGGATGCCTGGGTGACTCAGTCGGTTAAGCATCCTACTTCGGACCAGGTCATGATCTCATGGTTCCTGAGTTCAAGTCCTATGTTAGCTCTACACTGACAGTGCAGCTTGGGATTCTCTCTCTTCCTCTCTCTCTCTCTCTCTCTCTCTCTCTCTTCCCCTCACCCACTTGTGCATGCTCTCTCTCAAAAGAATAAACTTAAAAAATGCAGATTCCCAGGCCCCTCCCCAACATATCAGAAATTTTGAGGGTGGGCCCAAGACTCTGTCTTAGCAACCCCTGCAGGTAGATTATGATATGTGCCCAAAATTAACCCAGAGATAAATGTCAAATAACCTCTTGATTTTGAGTTATGAGTTGTGCAGGCACCTTCCCTGGCCACCCATTTTTTTTTTCCATAACTCTTAGTGGTTAGATAGTCTTTTATTTGGCTAGTTCATTATTGGCATCTCTACCCATCAGATTATAAGTTTCATGAA